GAAGTAAATGGCAAGACTGTTGAGTAGTCAAGCAAACCAGGGGCACCACTGGCGCCCCACAAAGATGTCTGGATACAGTGAGCGACAACCGCGAGGAGTCGGAGAAGATGCTGAAGATGCGTGGTGACTGGTGTTTGATATCGCTTCGTTTGTTCAACGAATCAATGCGTGTGCGTTTATTGCGCTTTGGCGTGTTGATGTGTTTTTGTGTGTAGCTTGTGTTTGGTGTGGTGTTGAGTACAAGGATTGTATTTAGGTAGAGCGCTTGTGGTGCTGTCCTGGGGATGTAGCTCAAATAGTAGAGCGCTCGCTTAGCATGCGAGAGGTACAGGGATCGATACCCTGCTTCTCCATTGATCATGTTACTGTGATAAAATCAGTTGGCATCAGCACTTTCCCAAATGTGCACTTCGTAGTTTGTCTGCGACATCGGCTGACCTTGAGTAACATTTTCTTTTAATTGCTTTTTGCTTCTTGCCTGCCGTCCTGTCTATCGTCCATCTGATTGTCTCCCGTTGATATCACTGACGGTTCCACGACACGCTTGTATTGGCGCTCCGTTGTTTGTCTATCGATTAATCCTTTGACACGCTCCTTGATTCTGCCATAACATCGTGACACTTCCGTCCAGCTACTAGCTGCGTGAATACCACTAATAAGTTTTGCTTGTCGCTGATAGTTTATTGCTTCTGGGGTTAGTGCTGAGCTGTATCAGACTGACATCATTGATAGCAGCAAATACCAGCAAACACCAGCGCAAGCGTTCTGCCGAACCAGGCGTCGACGATCAACGACACTATCTTTCAGAAAGTAAATGGCAAGAATGTTGAGTATTCAAGCAAACCAGGGGCACCACTGGCGCCCCACACAGATGTCTGGATACAGTGAGCGACAACCGCGAGGAGTCGGAGAAGATGCTGAAGATGCGGGGTGACTGGTGTTTGATATCGCTTCGTTTGTTCAACGAATCAATGCGTGTGCGTTTATTGCGCTTTGGCGTGTTGATGTGTTTTTGTGTGCAGCTTGTGTATGGTGTGGTGTTGAGTACAAGGATTGTATTTAGGTAGAGCGCTTGTGGTGCTGTCCTGGGGATGTAGCTCAAATGGTAGAGCGCTGGCTTAGCATGCGAGAGGTACAGGGATCGATACCCTG